GGGGCTAGCCAGCCAACTGCAGGAAAGCAGGCCCCGGCTGGCAGCAGGCAGCTGCTAGGGACCCTACCCATGTACAAATTTCATGCACTGGGCCTCTAGTTGTTTATAAGTGCCTAGCAGCACACACACAAAAAATTAGCAAAAAAAAGTAGATTGCCCTGGCCAGTGTGCGGTAAGGCTCAGTTGGTTGGAGTGTTGTCCCATACACCAAAAGATGTTGGGTTCAATTCTAGGTCAGGACACATACCACAGGAGGCAACTGATCAATGTTTCTCTTTCTCTCTCTCCCTTCCTCCCTCTCTCAAAACTAATAAAAAATAGCACTGGATCAATAACTCATGCTATTTATGGAGGTTTTCCTGGGATAACCAGGCAGGTGCATAAAAGTTAGCAGTGCATATCCTGGCAAAATAGTACTATTTCCTTTCTTAAGTGAAATTCAGACATACCACCCTTTACCTGCCTCCTGAACTTTATATCCTCTCAGGGTCACTAACTTTACTGATTATCATGCTGCCCTTCAGAGGTGGACTCTGGTACAAATATAAATATGGACATGAACACTTGTGCTTGCTGTCTTTTGGTTGATTGACTTTGACACACTAGGAGAAAGCTGAAATTTTCTAAGGCTTTTACTCTAAAAGGGAGAACAACAAGAAAATAAACCTCAAGATTGCAAAACTGCAAGAAACATAAACACAATCCAGAAATTGTGCCAAGTCCCAGCCCCACTAGATTCTGTATTTCCCAGCTCCAGTCTATTTCCACAATGTAACATCATCACGCACTGGTCTTGGGATCTTTGTGGAGAAAAGCAAGAGAGCAAGGTCCTGTCTGCACAGCTCCTCGGGGTCTTTAGGTTCCAGTGTGAGGCCAGAGAAGCAGCTGACACCAAGAATGACCTGCCTGCCCTAAGCCGGATCCCATACACAGCATCCAAGGTGTGTGGCTTTCACACGTGCCATCAGCCAGTCATCACATCCTATATAATAAAAGGCTAATAT